ACTTGGGCGGCACTTGGGCCGTACTTTGGCGGTACTTGGGCAGAATGTGAAAAGCGGCACTTGGGCGGTACTTGGACGGCACTTGGGCCGTACTTTGGCGGTACTTGGGCAGAATGTGAAAAGTGGCACTTGGGCGGTACTTGGGCAGAATGTGAAAAGCGGCACTTGAGTGGTACTTGGGCGGTACTTGGGCAGCACTTGGGCCGTACTTTGGCATTACTTTGTCGGCACTAAGGCAGAATGTGAGCAGCGGCACTTGGGCAGTACTTGGGCGGCACTTGGGCGGTACTTTGGCTGTAGTTTGTCAGCACTTGGGCAGAATGTGAAAAGATGCACTTGGGCGGTACTTGGGTTGTACCAAGTACCGCCCAAGTGCCGCTGCTCACATTCTGCCCAAGTGCTGACAAAGTACGGCCCAGTGTTGCCTAAGTACCGCCAAAGTACGGCCCAAGTGCTGCCTAAGTACCACCCAAGTGACGCTGCTAACATTCTGCCCAAATACCGACAAACTACAGGCAAAGTACCGCCCAAGAACCGCCCAAGTGCCGCTTTTTACATTCTGCCCAAGTACTGCCAAAGTACGGCTTAAGTGCCGCCTAAGTTCCGCCCAAGTGCCGGTTTTCACATTCTGTGCAAGTACCTCTAAAGTACGGCCCAAGTGCCGCCCAAGTACAGCCCAAGAGCCGCTGCTCACATTCTGCCCAAGTGCCGACAAATAGCAGCCATAGTACCGCCCAAGTGCCGCTGCTCACATTCTGCCCAAGTACCGACAAACTACAGCCAAAGTACCGCCCAAGTACCGCTGCTCAAATTCTGCCCAAGTACCGCCCAAGTTCCGCCAAAGTGCCGCTGCTCATATTCTGCCCAAGTACCGCCCAAGTGCCGGTTTTCACATTCTGCTTGAGTACCGCCAAAGTACGGCCCAAGTGCCGCCCAAGTACCGCCCAAGAGCTGCTGCTCAAATTCTGCCCAAGTGCCGACAAACTGCAGCCATAGTACCGCCCAAGTACCGCCCAAGTGCTGCTTTTCACATTCTGCCCAAGTACCTCTAAAGTACGGCTTAAGTGCCGCCCAAGTACTGCCCAAGGACCGCTGCTCAAATTCTGCCCAAGTTCCGCCCAACTGCCGCTGCTCACATTCTGCCCAAGTACCGCCCAAGTGCCGGTTTTCACATTCTGCCCGAGTACCGCCAAAGTATGGCCCAAGTGCCGACAAACTGCAGCCATAGTACCGCCCAAGTACCGCCCAAATGCTGCTTTTCACATTCTGCCAAAGTACCTCTTAAGTACCGCTTAAGTGCCACTCAAGTGCCGTCCAAGTACCGCCCAAGTGCCGCCCAAGTGCTGCTGCTCAAATTCTGCCCAAGTACCGCCCAAGTACCGCCCAAGTGCCGCTGCTCACATTCTGCCCACGTGCTGACAAACTACAGCCAAAGTACCGCCCAAGTGTCGCTGCTCATATTCTGCCTTAGTGCCGACAAAGTACCGCCAAAGTACGGTTCAAGTGCTGCCCAAGTACCGCCCAAGTACCGCCCAAGTGCCATTGCTTACATTCTGCCCAAGTGCCGACAATATACAGCCAAAGTACCGCACAAGTGCTGCCCAAGTGCTGCTGCTCATATTCTGCCTTAGTGCCGACAAAGTACCGCCAAAGTACGGCCCAAGTGCTGCCCAAGTACCGCCCAAGTACCGCCCAAGTGCCGCTGCTCACATTCTGCCCAAGTGCCGACAAACTACAGCCATAGTACCGCCCAAGTACTGCCCAAGTGCCGCTGCTCACATTCTGCCCAAGTGCTGACAAACTACAGCCAAAGTACCGCCCAAGTACTGCCCAAGTGCCGCTGCTCATATTCTGCCTTAGTGCCGACAAAGTACCGCCAAAGTACGGCCCAAGTGCTGCCCAAGTACCGCCCAAGTACCGCCCAAGTGCCGCTGCTCACATTCTGCCCAAGAGCTGACAAACTACAGTCAAAGTACCGCCCAAGTACCGCCTAAGCGCCACTCCTCAAATACTACCGAAGTGCGGCCCAAGTTTCACCTGATAGCCGCTTCTGTTAAACATATGTCTTTATTATTATTATTAATGTTGTTAACAATTGTATCTTCTTCCTTAAGTTATATTAATTATCATGTTTATTATCTTTATCATTATGATCATCATCTTTATCATCATAGTCAATTTCATCGTATGTAGAATGATCTCACAATAATATCTCGGGTTAACTAAATAACCTTTTAGTACGCTTATTTATTTGTTTTTACGTTACTGATACTCAGCCCTTTATCTCCTTCTAATAATTTTATAGCTACACGTTTTTACTATTTTAATCACATTTGAGCGCCATCTCCTGCCCGCTAGGGGATCTATCCAGACTTTGTTTACCGACCTAGAGGTTTGTTGCTATGTTGTTGCGATCCATGACGCTGCACTTCATGGCAGCCCGCGCCATTGAAATTGGCGTTCTAAACACGCTGAAATTGAGCACTTTTGTAAATCCATTTACTTAATGAATAATTGTTAAAAATTTATTCTGTAAACGGATTTTGACTCAGGGGAAGCTGATCCACACGCTGGTCCCCGCTCTTGAAGTGCTTAAGAATATCCCTGTATATAGACAGTATGATATGTAACGGTGGCATTTCCTGAGAACCGCGTGTAGAGCGATTTTTTCTGACGTGAACCCCGTTGGAATTAATTGTTTAGGGCTAATAGCTTTTAAATGGGAGCCTCAGCTACTGCTGGTAACTTGAAGGTTGGATGTAAAAATTTTTAC